TAGTAGTATCATTTTATCGTTCATGGTTAAACACAATTCAGTAAATGTCCATGACTTAGGCGATAATGTGGTATAATGCTTTGCTTCATCCATTTTAGAACAAACTTTAACACTTTATTTAGAATTTTTCCGACGGTGTGCCTATGCCTACACTGTAAGTGACTATATTCGTTCTAAAGTTTTTTTAACTCAAACAAGGTCCTTTAGTCTTTATTGATTGGCTAGGCATGTGAAATCTTATTTCGTTTCCACTTTGGACAAAATTTTCTTCTTTAATTTTTTTGTACGAATTTTTGAGAGAGAGAGAGATGGGTGGGGGTAAACAATCTCAATCTTTTCGCTTCTCACTTTACATAATATCTCTCTCACATTATATATGAATATTATTATTATTAAAATAGATATAAAAATTTAAATTAATTATTACTAATAATTTGAATTTAAATTTTTTAATATCACTTAATTTAGATTCAAAAAATTATTAGACTAATGGTGCTTGGATTGATTGTTATAACTAATATCATAATATAATGAGATCTTGATCTTATATAATTGTGACTGTTGTGATGTATATTGATAGATATAAATATGATTATAAATATTTATATATAAATACAATTATTAAGACTTATATAAGAATTTAAGTAAATCATTACTAATAATTTGAGTTTAAATTTTTGAAGACATTATGATTTAGTTTTAAAATGTTGTTGGACTAATTTGAGTTTCCCGAATAAAGTGTAGTGTGTTATTAACCGTTGCAAGAGAAACTTTTCCAAACGTGTGGAAAGAATATTACGCAAGAGGAAATGTGGAAGTCTGACAGAAGGCAACCAACACTGCATCAATCAAAGTATCTTCGAGACCAAACTGGTGAATTAACCAATATCAAACCGTGGTAGAGTGGTCTGAATTCTGAAGTAATTTGACAAATGATCAGTAAACTAAAGTACCAGGCTCGCCCCAGTATATAGCCCAATTACATAAGACTAAGATTTGGACTCAACTTTCATTGGTTAGGCCAGGCTTAAAGTTGGGCTGCATCTAATAATCTGAACCTTGGCCTAGGCCTTACTCTGGACATAGGTGATCCGGAAGCGCGAGCGATGATCTGCCATAGCCTAATCATACCGTCCTGTCAGTATCAAATTCCTACCGGTCACACTAACAAATAAAATTCTTTTATCCATCACTCAGGCAAAATCAGCTCTGCCAATAAACTACACCTTAATTTGGATTCGTTGTCTGAATATTCATTCTAATCCTCCAAAAAAAATCATTGCAAATTTATAATCTCTGCCGATTGCCAGGGCGTGGGACATCTTAGTCACAGACTCCCAGCCACTTATAATGGATTTTCCTCTTTTCACTTTCTTTCTGACACTAAATTAGAGATTAGTCAGCCTTTGTTTATACAAAGCTTTTCCTTAATAAATATATAGAGATAAGTCAATCTCTAATGACATCAGGCAACACCCCACCCCCATGTCTTCTTCATTAGCTGATCGAAACAGAAAAAGATTTAGACCGGATGAAGATCCGGTTGGATATAACGGAGAGTCAGATACGGACAGAAACATCGCTTTCACGGGGGATTTCCTCAAAATATTATGCTCGGAATCTTGGCAACAAAACAACGTTTTATTGATAGCTCCCAACCACGTAACTTGCTTTCACTTTACCCTACCTGGCTTTTTGTTCTTACCTTTTTTCTTTAAGATGACTTTGTCTCTCGTATGCCATCGCCCATTTGCATTTTGCTTTTACCAGTTTCTGTGTTAAAAGCCAGTGTTTGGTTTTACTATTTCCTCTTAATTTGGTTCTTTTAAGTCAAAATATTTGGGTGTCCGAGTTCCGACCTTGTCAAATGGATTGTGACCGAACGTTACATAATAGACCACGAGTTTATGCCGCTCTCCAACATGGGCCTATAATTGTTGTCTGATTTAGTTGTCGTTGCCCATGTTTTAAATAATTAAATTTCCGCAGATTAAAGTGGTAATTTTTTTTGCATTAAAAAATAATTTTTTTTAAACAAAGGGAGATTCCAATTCATCCTCTTAATGGGGAAACTTATACTTTTTAAATTAAAATGTCATGCACTAAATCAAATATTTGACTGTAAAAAAATAATTTTAATTGATTATTACAAACTTTTGAGTCTCAACCTTCCGGTGCTGCTATCATTGGTACTAGGATTTGATTGATCATTTGGAATAAATAAATTGCAATTTACAATGTAATTTTGTCTATAACTAACTCTGAAGTGAGGAACCTTTTTATTTCTATTTATAAAAAAAAAATTGACAGGACATAATTTGTCAGATCTATATTCACGAGAACCCAAATTCAAAACCAATATAAGAGTATACCATAAACAGTTATTTTTTTCCCCTAAGTTTTAATCCATGTGACTTTATTAATTTTTTTTTAAATAGCAAAGGTATCAAGTTTATTCATAGTGCAGGGACATGAACCCCGTCCTTCTTACACATTAAAGCAGAAAACCTTGGTTCATATATCAGTCCATTTTATCTGATATATGTTTCAAAATCTCCTCAAAAGATCAAAGAAAAACGTCCACTGTACACATCACCAACCCAAAAGAACAAAAGCAATCCCAAAGAAAATCACAACATTCTTCACCCTTAAAACAAAAAAAAAAAGTCTCAATCAAAACGAAACCGAGGGTTAGCCATAGTTGAACCTCACTTCCACAATCAAGATTACAAAAGAATTTAGTACCTTCCAATATTCACTTTGAAGAGGATGGCAGCTTTGGCAAGTGAATCGGCTTCTTGGTTAGCCTCTCTCAGTGAATGTCTCATTTCCCATTCTGTACATAATTTCTTAAACCTTTCAATCTGATTCATCCAAAATCTCAGTCTCCAAGGCGCACTCGCAAGATCTTTAATCCATTTAACAATATTGCACGCGTCACTTTCAATCAACAAGGAATGGTTATCTTTCCATCTCGATGCTGAGAAGATCAAGAAAGCCTCCTTCACAGCAAGAACTTCCGCAGTAGTAGAGTTGGCAATACCAATTAGTTTGGAGAAGGTAATTAACGCCTCTCCCTTCTCATTCCTCAAAATACCCCCAATTCCAGCAGGTCCCGGACACTTGAGCCGCTCCGTCCACATTAAACTTCAGTTGCCCTAGCTTTGGTTTTTCCCATGTAGCACTTTTCTCTCTTTTTTTTCTTTTCCACCACATCCAACTTCAGGAAACATGAAAGTAGTCAAAATAGAAGGATACTCATTAGCCCAAGAGGCCACTCTTATCTTTGAGATCTCCCAACATTGTGTACTATCCAATCTTTACCATTGAAAACAACATCATTCCGACATTTCCAAATTGTCCAAACAACCGTAAAATAGCTCATTCGGCATATCCTCTCATCTGCCTTTCCCGGATAACAGTTATTCCAAGAATCAAAAAACAATTTAACATTACCGGGAACACTCCACTGATAACCAAATAATTCACACCACCTAACCCACACCTTCCATGTTTCAGAGCAGAAAATAAACAAGTGATTGACAAATTCACTTTCTTTATTACACAAAGCACAAGTACTTTGATTATCCTGAATCAGTCCCCTACTTACCAGTTCTTCCTTCACTCCAACTTTTCCATGAAGCAATTGCCACACAAACACCTCAATTCTATGTGGTGCAAGGCTGGCCCAATATTCTTCCATATCTTGTCTCTCATGTCAGTGGGCTCCATCAATTTTTTGCAAAAATATTTTGAAGTGTACAGACCATTGGCCTCACCTTCCACACCATATCATCTTTTAGTGTTTGCTAATCTGGACATCAATGAGAAGGGTTTCGAGTCGATCCCATTGAGTTACTTCCCAGTCAAAGAGATTTCTTCTCAAAGAAATTCCCATCTCCACACATTCTCCTCCACCTGCCCGTACTCTGCAATCCTCCCATTTTTATTGTTTGCTAGTGCGAATATCTTGGGAACATTTGTGCCAAAGTTCCAGTTCCAATCCATTCATCAGTCCAAAAATAGATATTTTCACCATTTCCAACAACTAAACCAATATTAGAATTCACCTGCAAAAAATACTTGTTAGTCAGGGAAAGGGGGCAAATGATATTCTTCCATATTGTAGAAAAATTCCTACTCAGTTTTGTATTTGGCATGAGACAGATAGGATCACTCTTGGTCTTATTGACAATAACTTCTCTCCACATGCTCTCTCTCTCTCTTCCATAACGCCAAATCCATTTGTTTAACAGGGCTCTATTCTTGGTTTCTAAATCAGTAATTCCTATCCCTCCCCACTCCCGATAATTGCACACCTTCTCCCAATTGACATAATGAACTTTTCTTTTTTCATCAAAGTCTCCCCAGAAAGCTTCGCTGAAGTCTCTCCAATTTGTTCCTAATCTCTACTGGGATTTTAAACAACGACATATAGAAAATTGACAGACTGACCAACACTGATTTGAGCAATGAGATGTGACTTTATTAATTATACCGTAAGTGCTGTAGATCCATATATGTGATTTGATTCTATTAATTTATAGTATCAGATTAGAAAATGAAAATATCATGATCTCTAATACTAACTTTTCCTTTTTTTCAAAGTACAACGAAGTTAATAAAAAATCAACATATCATCTTTGATTAAAAAATTAAACTCAAATAGTCCAAATAGTCCAAATTGAACTGTTAACTTTTCTAATGCAAGAAACCAGAATTATCCAATTTAAAGTTTATCATTCCTCGGGGAGAAAATTCAAGATCCATTTGAATCCAAAGAACTTGTAAGGATAGCTTTTAATTTTTCCTTGAACAAAAACAAGGCAAAACAATGTGAAAAACAAACGTAAGCAAGACACCATACAAGCCAGCTGAAGATTTAAAAAGCACAAGTTTTGACTGGAAAAGACAAAATACACCAAAATGGCAAAAAATAATAATAAAACCAAAACACTAGAGAAACTTGTCAATTCATTACGAAGAAAATAACAGTAAAAAGAAAACAGGGGAATCGAACCCCTCAACATTTATTTATCCTCTTGTCTTCTTCGATACCCATCAAAACCAGCTCCCATTACCCTCACCCACCCCCATCCCCCTCGTAATTTCCCATTCTCAAATTCAACCTCAACAAGAGAAAGAAAGGAAATCACCCAAAATCAAGGCTTCAGCTTTTGTCAATGAAGCGGAGTGCCCCAGATTATCAGGTCCCCGGGGCCGACCAGAAAATGAAGAAATTAAAAGAAGAAGCTCAAGAAGAAAGGGGGTTGATGAATTTAGATGAAAATCTGTTGTACGAGGTTTTGAAACACGTGGACGCGAGGACTTTAGCTATGGCCTCGTGTGTCAGCAGGCTTTGGCGCCAAACTGCCAAAGACGAGCGGCTTTGGGAGCTGATCTGTACCAGGCACTGGGCGAACATCGGCTGCGGAACCCAACAGCTTAGATCTGTGGTGTTACCTCTTGGTGGCTTCCGCCGGCTCCATTCGCTTTACCTTTGGCCGCTTTCCAAGCCACAAGCTGCTTCAGCTTCGTCTTGGGCGCCGATCTCCAGGATGATTAACTCCAAGCCACCTGCTCGGTGGGGAAAAGATGAGGTTCATCTTTGTCTGTCTCTTCTCTCTATTCAGTATTATGAGAAGATGAATTTCACTAACAGAGGCAAATAATTCTAATTAATTGCTTACTATATATAACATTATAAATAAATGTATCAAATATAAGTATATCACTGTATTTCTACTTTCGGGTTTTGTTTTATTTTGGGTTCTTGTATTGTCTCCTTTAATTTGGCTTGGGATTTTTCTTTTCTTTTCTCTTTTTTTTTTTATTTTGGGAAATTTTGTACTTAAGCTGGGGTTTTGTGAACTAGGTCTGTAATTCTGTGCGAATTTTATCAAATGAAACAATTGTTCCTTAAATTTATGATTATTTGATTTGGAAAATTATCATTTAAGATTGAATGCTGCCGTTTTGAAAGTATTCTTGCAACATATTTTTGGTCGGAAATTGGAAACGGATGCCCACGACTAGAGGGGGGGTCGGTGTGGTTTGGTGACAGTGGCAAATGGAGGGTATTGATTGGATTCGGTTTGGGAGGATAAGTCCAGATAGGCAGAACCAAACAAGGGGTCAAGTGGTAGTTTTTATGAATGTCTGGTTCTGCAAACTTTTATCTGCCAATTTATTAGTATCTTACCTTAGCATCAAGCCCCAGTCGGTTTCTTGGCTAATAATTAAGGAGGGATTTTACATCCCCGATCACAATTTATTTCCTCTGGTCTCTGGGAACTAGTTTCAGGCTTTCAGCTTGGTTTTGCCTGCATGTCAGGGAAAAGAACTGGGTTTAGTTACTTGTTAAACTGCCAAATTGTCACTACTAGCGGGGTTGCATGTGAGGAGGAGTTCCTATCTTTGATAGCCGAATTGCCGGTATAGGAATGGGACCGGTGTTTTTGTCATTTTCTCCTGCGTAGTTGGAATGAGTAATGTGATTTAATGCTTCAAGCAAGCTCAGCCCTTAAGTTCTAGCTATCAAGTGGAGGCATGTGGATTTGACTTCAGCCAACTGAACTTGTTTCGCAAGTTTAATACTAGTTTTGTAATCATCTTTGAAAAAGACAACACTGGATATCGGATAGAGCGAAGGGGGAAATTGGCTGGCATCATTTATTCCTCTGTTCCATTCTTATGAAGGACTATAGTGAAGCTGAGCTTAACCTACGGTCGTTGAGCTTGGGTTGATTTTGTGAAAGCAAGTTTGCATTTGATATTGATTTAAGTTTTATATAGATGTTTAAGCTTGGCTTGATAAGTTTTAAATAAGCTTGACCATGATTGGTGCAAGTTTCGCATACTAATCATGAAATCCAGTTAAGCTCAATTCCAATTTATTAGGCCAATATGATCTTATAACGAGCCCATTTAATTTCAAGCTTAACGTCTGGTTAATTAAAAGCAAGTCTACATTCAAGAAAAATACTTAAATCCAATTGAACACTTACCAGTTTGAATTCAGTTTCGTTACAACCTACGGAATAGAATTGTTCTGCCCTGCGAGTTGTGCCCGCTCCCTACCCAGACTCATGTTAATGTTACGTTCTTGCCTCGTACATAGATTACTATTACATATTCAAGAAACCAACCTGTATTGGGTTATTATCGTTAACAGAATTAATATTACTATTTCATTAATGTTAATACAGTTAACACAACTCGTATTCAACTACACGTGACAAAAATGTATGTACAGAACAAGAAAGAACAAAGAGATGGATGCAAAGAAATCTTATTCACCACCTACAGCCCAACTTATAAGAAGGCAATAACGTGAACAAGCATTGAGTTTAGGTAACCTGTGCTTGTTTTAGTCTTACCGTTATTACTACAATTATGAGAATTGAAAAAAAAAAAAAAGGGGGTAATAAAACTTGACGCCCGCTGACTGAACCGGGGCTCGCGTTAGTTGGCCAGCCCATCCATCCGGTTAAAGAATGAACTTAAAAGGCTTTCAGCCTTTAACTAATTGTTTATTTCTTGGCCAATGGTACGCGGGCTTTATGGTGTGGCGTGGCGCTAATATCTGGTCCTGTGTCGGGATGCACGACCCCCTTCGCCCTAATTTTTTCATAGTAAAAATGTAACGGCGTTCACCTTGTACCTTTTAGTTAGAAAGACAAACCTTCTGAAAGTGAACCTTCAATTCCAAAAACAACATTAACAAAATTAAGTTAATTAAAAAATTGAAATTTATTTCTTGGCAATTGGTGGCAGCGCACCAGCGATTGTTTTAACTTACACCCTGAATGTCATGGGTGGAGCTTGAATTTATATAGGGATCTTTGTATAATATGTAGTAAAAGTTTTGGTTGGTGAGAAAAATGAAGAGGAAAAATTACGGAAAAAGTTTTTAAACCAATTTCAGGCTTGAGAATTTCTCATGTTTTTAGTGATGCTGTTGCATGGCAACATGAAAATTAGTATCCACGAAGTGATTGTAGGATGGGATTTTGGTTCATGGTATTTCTTTTCCAGTTCTTCCACATAAAGGCTTTCAGAAGTAGCCATACATGGAATATTTCGATTTTATTTACAAAAAAAGAATATTTTGTTTATATAAATTTAAGTATCTACGTATATACTGTAATAACTTCTCACAAATTCTTAATCACTGATTTTTTCAATATGAAATTGTGCACGTTATAGTTTTAATTTGACCAACTTTTCCATTCTGTGCTGAAACCAGGAACTTTAAAACTTAACTTTTTCGAGGGGAGTGGTGGAGGCTGCAGGAAAAGGAACATTTGGCAAGTTCTTATGTCACTAGTTACATATTGATTTCATTTTTGCTATGATTTCCAAACAACTCCAACCATTGAAATGAAATTTCTTTGCAGGATCCAAAGGATAAACACGTGCGTATTAGAACTTAGAAGATGGTTTGTCAAAGTCTAATTTCCTGTTGCTAACCAAAAAAAAAATTAATTTCCAGATTGTTTGAGACCACCAGATGAACATTTCAAAAGTATTGTGTGTGTGGTGTTTGAATCAAAGCATTGTGTTAATTATTACATCGGCGGTATGAGATCATGCGACAATGAACAGGGGAAAAATACAATATATGAAAGTCATTTTTCCTTTTCCTTAATTCTAATTTTTCTTCCTTTTGGTGCCTTCTACGAAATTAACCAGTGATAAATAACCAAACTTTGGAGATCTAACGTAAACACTTTGACATTTTTATGACTTTCTCTCAATTTTGTTAGATATTTCAACTTCACCTTATACCTAACCACAATCAATATTAGGAATGCACTAATGCTATTTAATCTGGGAAAAAATTCGTTCGGAGAATGGAGAGAAGTAAACAATATTGTCTACTTCATTAGCAATGCTTTTGTATTTCAGTGCGGCCGACAAAGCTTAATTCCTTAGCATGTTCCCTCAATAAAATTAAGTAATCTCTTATGCATTACAGACCCAATCAGGCCTCGTCAAAATGACCAAGGAGTCTTGGTTGTCAACAGTATTAGTTGGAATGCTTCCTCCGGGGCGTTTCCTCTCTGCTTTACTTCTTTGGTGGACTGCAAGGGAGAGTTCAATGTTCGTCTCCCACATGTCAATTAATTCCTGAGAAGTAAGATTGTGGAACCATCCAACTGGTGAGTGGCCATGGCTGCAAGTTTACCTGTTCGTATTGACTTGCATATATTTTCGAAAAGCAGAGACCCTGTCAAAGCCAACAATTCATACTTAGCACTCTTTTTATCTCACTCTCATTTTTTTTTTTTCATTTCACCCTTTCATTGATTTTCAACTCTTAAAATTTATAATTTCCTGCAGGCTAAATCTGATAACTGTATGATGTGAACGTACCTGTGAAAATGAAAGGAAAAAAAGACAGTGCAGCACTGATTACTTGAATAACATCCCATGTGCTGAAACTTTATTTCAATGATCAAGTGATCATGAAGCTTCTCTTCATGAGTCATGACTCGGATTCCATTGCTACATCAACTTATATTTTATACGTTAATTCATTTCTTTTTACCGGGCCTGTTACATCTGTCTGGTGATGCTAGCTTATAGCTCATTCACTTGTGCATTTTCTGCTTATTATTTGTGGACTCTGGTCCCGCACCGGGTTTTTTGGGAAGAATGTTGCGTTACGCAGGCAATTACGCAGGCCATAGGCGGGCGGTAATTCGCAAAAGCTCTCAGTGGAAAGAAAGGTAACATTTCCTCGTAATTTCCACGCAAGTCTAATGACCTAATTAATTAGTAAACAATGAGATCAATGTTCCTAAACTTTTACGGGGCTATTGATGAATTGAAACCATTGATTTATGACCTCATTCCTTGCACAATAAGGGAAACATGGCGGCAAACCCTGGAAGCTCTCACGTGTTTGAATGGGCCACTACCCTTTTCGTACCGTCAAACTAAGATCTCAGACTCTCAGGGGCTTTCATCAGTTTTAGCAGCACTGTTGCAAGCTACATGAATTACTATATATAGGTATCAGTATGGGCCTTTTTGTATCAAACAGATAACACAGAATTTCCCATCAACAAGTTTTAGCTCTCCTAGCTAAGATAAACAAATTAACAACCAAAGCCATTGCTACCCAATCCCAAATCCCGATGGCGGGAAACGTCAAGTGTTTCTTCTTTGTCCTCGTTCTTCTTCTATCATCGTTGCTTTTCACTTCTGAGGCTCGTCCTCTCAATGATTCAGAGCCAGGCGCAGGCAGCTCTATAAGCAAGGAGATCGAAGTTTTCTTGGACGGTTTGAACCTTGAAGGAATCAAGACCGGAGGTCCAAGTCCAGGAGGAAAAGGTCATGCATTTACTAATGCTGTCACCAACTCAGGTCCAAGTTCCGGTGGCGAGGGACATTAAGCTAGCGTCTCTTATGCAAAGCCTGCAACCGCTCTAATGATTCTTTGGCGTCTCCAATAAAACAAATTCATTATTTTGTAGTGATTCTTTATTTGTTTTGTTCAATTTTGTTAGCTATTATTGCTATTGTGGTCATTCTTTTGTAATGTCTTCAGTATGTTTAGGTGTGTTGCAGGCAACTAGTAGTCATTCTTTGTAGGGTTAATAAGTCGATGGCGAGTCCGCCATTTCTAATTTTTTGTGGTTCTGAGATCTGTACGACAGTTTTGATCTCCTTCGTTCAATTATTAATTTTATTCGTGGTGTAAACTTTTCTTTTTTTTTTTTTTTACTTTCCAAACTCCGTCGCTGTGAGAGAGAAAAGAGAGACATTTTGCCGTGCAGTGATATCTTCCAAAGGAACTATGCATGCGGAAAATTACAGTGGCCGAGGCACAATGAATTATTACCTTTCTGCACTGTGCACGTGAGGTTGACTTTTTCATATAATGTCATTCGGGAATTTGTCATCAATTGCCCAATACATATGTTTCCAATCTACCAAGATACTAAGCCACCTAAAATATACAAATGCCTGCATGTACCTCAATTAATCTATGAACATGCGGCTTATTCAACGTTCGACACTTTAGATGTTTAATTTTTGCCACTGATGAAAGAGCAAAAAATCATGCAGGTTTGCCGAAGTACGGGTGAATCTAAGCAGAGAGAGTCAGACTGCTTCCGAGCAGGTGTGGACTGTGGACCATAACTATGCTTGGTAGCTGCTTCAGTATTGTTCAGTCAAAGTGCATACCAGAAAAAGACATCGGGAAACCCAACCTGTACCACTCATGTAAGTTAGCTATTGTCTTTTGCGTATGGCCCTAATCGTGATCATAATTGTTTAAAGTTTGAACCAGAGCCTACTCAGGATCAAAACATTCTTGAATTTTATGGGGAGAACCGAATATTCTTGATATTTGCTATTAGTTAGTTAGTTGGTTAGGCTGTAGAATTGTTTACTTTGTCAAAAAATATACATAAATTCTTTAATTTGTCACTTAAAATATTAGTAAGTAGCATTTAATTTGTTATGTAATTGAGACAATTAAAGGGGGCGTAAGGGGTTAATGATCAAAGCCCAGTGGGAGTTGTTTTGGGCCTAAAAGCCCAAATTTAGATTTGCCACAGACGGACACCAAATTATCTCGTAACTCTTAAGCGCCACGTGTTTTTACCTCACAGCCTTACAATTTACATAGGCCAAGGAAGAATTTTATACAGTAAAACTGCCCAAGAAAAGTAGAAAATTTCCCCAATTTGAATTTATTCTATCCTCACCGGAAATAAGAATTCACGGTTAAAAACCGAACAGAAAGGATAAAAGGAACCACCCATAACGGCCAAGAACCCGATAATTAAAAGCCCCACACCGAAATCCCTCCCTTCCCCACCCCCAAAATGGGAAGCTCAAACACTGCCTTGAACGACGACGACGATTCCGCCACCGAATCCGACAACGACACCGCCACCAGGACCGACACCGATTCCGACACCGACTCCGAAACCGAAACTGATGAGGAATTCCGTAAGCGCTATGATACCGGCCCTTTCAGAGAAGGCGAAAAAGTCCTCGCTTACCATAACCTCCGCATTTACGAAGCCAAAGTAAAAAATAACTTATTTCCTTTCTCTTCCTTTCGCTTCCTTTCCCCGATTAAAAGTTTACACTTTACTCATCGCTTGACTTGGCAGGTCTTAAAATTTGATAACCGGAGCAACGGCTGGCATTATTTCGTTCATTATCTTGTAAGTATAAAAAATTTTAAATCTTCATTTCATTTCACCTTTTTCACTTAAAATTGATAATGTGGTTATTTATTTGTTTGTTTTGCAGGGGTGGAATAAAAAGTAAGTGCATTTTCTTCTCTGGTGAAATTACGATATATATTTTTTTATTTTAATTTAAATTGTTGAGATTTGTTTCCTTTTACAGCTGGGATGAATGGGTAGCTGTGGATAGGTTAATGAAATTCACAGAAGAAAATCGACAGAAACAGGAGGCGCTTAACAAGAAACTGGCGGAAGAAAAGAAGGCTGAATTTCATACGTCAAAGAGAGGAGCTGGGCGTGTGTTTCATTTTAAACTGAAACACCCCAAAGGTTAATTCTAATTTTTTTGTATGTTCAAATGAAATAAACTGTCTCATTAATCTTTTTCCAGGGGTTTTAAGACATCTTGGTCTTTGCAGGTTGTAGGGGCAAAAAGCGAAAGAACGATTCTATCAGCAAGGTATTCCCATGTGTCTCTGTATGAATTCCTTCCCTTGTTTCTTCTATGCCGTGTCTGTTGATCCATTTGATTGGAATTTCGCAAATTGATATTCTTTGGAAAATATGTTATTAGCAAAACAAGCTAATGACATCCTTGACAGTATGCTCAAATAGTTAGAATTTTGAACTATCATTGTGGAGGTTTCATGTTCAACTTAGTCTGTAGGTTTTTATTTATCAAGAAGGAAATTTCATTTGGTTGGAAACTTCGTTAATTAATATTTGTAGGGAAAATATTAGTAGCAAAGTAAGCTAGCAACATTCTTGACAGTACATGCTAGCGGTTAGAATTATGAGCTTTATTGTGGATGTCTCTTGTTGAACTTCCTCTGTTGATTTTCATTTATCAACAAGGTAAAAGAAAAATAAAATCTTAGTTTTTTGATTGTCAATTTTTAGGAGAGGAGTGCTGAACCTTCAGAAGAGCTTGTGAACATCCCATGTGTCTGTATATAATTGCCTTGGCATGCTCCTATGCTTTGTCTGTTGATTCATTTGGTTGAAATTTTGTTAATTGATATTCGTTGTGAAAATATGTTAGTAGCAAAATAAACTAAAGACATCCTTGACAGGATGACAAACAGTTAGAATTTTGAACTTTCATTGAAGAGGTTTCTTGTTCAACTTAGTCTGTTGATTTTTAGTTATCGAAAGCGAAAGAAAAAAAAAAGAACAAAACTTACCGTTGATTTTCAACTTTTAGGAGAAGAGTGCTGTACCTTCAGAAAAGATTGCGAGCATTCAACTTCCACTAACCCTGAAGAAGCAACTAGTTAATGATTGTGAATTTATTACTCATTTGGGAAAGGTATCTATATCCTCATAGTTTGGATTTTTCTGCATTATTCCTTTTGTTTCCATTTTGAGCCTTGCTTTTGCAGTGTTAATTATAACTGATCATCAAATGTTGACTGATATCTTCTGTTGCAGCTTGTTAAACTTCCACGTATTCCAAACGTGGAAGACCTATTGAAGATGTATCTTGATTACAGATCTAAGAAAGATGGCACGTAAGTTCTTGCCCTGCCCTGTTGTCATCTTTTTATCTTGACGTGCAGCATTCATGTTACTACAACCCAGCCAGCTCCTGTAATGGTCAGCTAGATGGAAAACTGTTTATTTACTAAAAAATATATTGTGATTTATTCTTTGGAAAGGGATGTCTTTTATTATTACTAAAAAAAAAAGTCATTCATCTACCTTCTTACAAAATTTTAAGGTTATTAACTGCATGTAATAGTTTGAAATTATCTATTTTTGCACCGTTCACCCAAATTTCTAATGTGCAATGATTTTGAAAATTTTGTTTCTTCGTATTTTTTCAACAAAATCTGTTCTAGTGTTTGACTTTCTTGATATGCTGTTAACACAATCTTTCATTAATTTAAATGCTGTTTTAGTTAGGTTTGAGCCATGCTTTAGAGAAAAATTGAAGCACCCTTGTGCACCACATATCATCAAGTAACTGTTTCATGACCTGGATGGTCCAAAAAATCTGCGTGGCATTATTGGCATTCACCTTGAAATACCGTTATGATAAAACGTACTAGGAAAGCAATCTGAGCAGGCTTATTATTGCAAAATACTTGGATTTATTCATGCCATTTATTAGATTGCTAGTTTTACACTTTTAGCCTTTTTGGCCTGGACCGTAAAAGGATAGTGCAGAATTATCCAAGTGGAAGTTGGGAAAAGTTGTTGAAATGAGAGAAAAAAAAAAGGGTAGGATGGGACTTGGGATTTGGGAATGAGAATACCTTCTGAGTTATGAGTGAAGTGCATCCTATCTTTACTCATAATTAATGCCTTTGAATTTTGATAAATTAATTTAATTTTGTTGAGTATTAATTTCTATTTTCGTGGCTGGATATTTTTAGTTTTCTAATTGTTAACATGAAAAAAGTAATGCATGTAGCGTAACAGATTCAGTTCGAGAAATTTTTAAAGGGATACGTGTTTACTTTAACAAAGCATTGCCCGTGATGCTTTTGTACAAAAGTGAGCGTCAACAATATGACGATACCGTTACAGAGGACATCTGTCCATCCACAGTATACGGTGCCGAACATCTGCTGCGTCTCTTTGGTATGTTCATCTTTCTCTGTTAGAAGAGTGACTAACTTGCACAAAGAAACATCATGCACTTTAATAGTACATATAGACAGGAATTGTACTTGCTAATTTAGAAATCTTTCCCTTCTCTGACGATTCTTTGTAGTTTGAGCTGAAGCTTGGAAGAGTAAACCAGACAATTCTTACAGACTGGCATTTTTCAGATGATATTAGAGAATATACCAAATAATTTATCACATTTTGAGGATTGTATGCATCTTTTGTTGAAAAGGTCGAATACTTGTACTGCTTACAAAATATCCTCCACTATATTTAGTTTCCTTGCAAGCAAATTAACCATTCATCTGAGTATAATGCGGTGCTATAACCTTTTTGTGGGGTTCTATGTATGTTATAATGTTGTACACATGGTTATGTGCTAATAAATCTTGCCTGTGACAAACTGTTCTGGGCTCATCTTTCCATCTGTTGGCATGTCTAATTATGGCGTGCATGTGCATTGCAATTATTGCGGCTTATGCCTGGTATTTTCAGTAAATCTTTTATTATAATGCTACTCCCGAAACTGTAAAGAGTTTCGTCATGCAAAAGGCTTCGTATTACGAAGTTGATTCTGCTAATTTACTGTCTGGTATTTGCAGTCAAGTTGCCTGAATTATTGGTGCGTGCAGACATTGAAGCGGAGACATTGTTGGAGTTGCAGCAAAAATTAGTCGACTTTCTCAAGTGTGAACTCTACCTTTATTCTGGTTATTTAACTCTTCAAAGAACTGGAGTTCTGTCATGCGTCTCTTTCCTTTTTCTTTCACGGCGGGAAGTCCACCCGCTATTGGGGTCAAGCCCTGGGTTGCTTTCCTTTAGACCAATTGCTAAGAAATCTATTATTCCAAGTTCCAACTCAAGTCAATGATGTCAAAAGTCGATGTTGTTTGCTATCTTTGAACTACAAGACCAAGTCTAGTTTGGAAATTGTCATTTCATCTACATTTATAGGGATCTTTACCCCTAAGTATTTCCTTTGAGGCACACAATTCTTGCATAACCCACTTGATCCTTTAATCTTCCTTTCAAATGATGACATTTTCTTATTATCAAACTCTGCTGACAGATCAAGATGTCTTCTCATTGCAGGTTCCTGCAGAAGAATCAGAATACATTGTTTCTTTCTACTTACCATGTTGCAGAAGATGTTGAGACGAGCACCAATAAACAAGATAATTAATTTCGGACCTGTTTGCCAACCCTTTGTACATACACCAAAGAGTGGTTGGTAGATCCTTCCTACTATTAAATCTACCCTCTTATGTAGGCTAGAAAATTTTTTTTGAAAATTGAGATGTTTGTATTGCCTTTAAGAACAATTTGTATCTATAAAGTTGTACGAGATTCCATAGTTAAAGCTCATTTGCTTGTCCTGTCGATTAAGTTGTGTAGAGAATGTGGAAGAAGTATGTTGGCCGTGCTAAATTGTCTGACGGACTATTGAAGCTAATTTCGCGTTTCATTGTTTAGTTCAATAAACTAGTATCAAATCAAGTGAAATCTAGAAACATACTACATATCTTCTCCTGTAAGTATAGCCTTATAGCAACTAAAACTGTAGCACTGGACTGCATTTTTCCCTCAATTTATTCCATTCACACTTTAATCTGTTTATTTTAAGCGTGGCGTGAGAATACTTTTGTACAGTATCTTTTCCTTAAAGACCGGTTGAAAGAAAAGAAATGACCAACTCTGGTTTCTTCGAGATTGTCAAGTGTGTCTCAAAGTTGAATGTAATGAGTATTTTTGCTGAAGATCCGGACACCCGGGTCTCCGTAAGCTGCTTAATGGCAAAACCTAACCGTCTCCTGCATTACCTTTCACCATGAAGCTCCACATAAGTTCCCTATGTTTTTCACTTGTTTTATCTTTGATGTTATTACCTCCTTTGTCATCTGCAACATATCAAAAATTGAGTGAAGGATCATCTCTTTCCGTGGAGAATCCCAGAGATATTTTAGTGTCACCAAATGGCACTCTCTCAGCTGGCTTTTTCCCTGTCGGCGACAATGCTTATGCTTTTGCAGTATGGTTCAGCAAACCAACTTGCGTCGTTCACAATTGCACCGTCGTTTGGATGGCCAATCGTGACCAACCAGTTAACGGAAGGCGCTCAAAGCTGTCGTTGTTAGGAACCGGCAATGTAATCGTAACTGATGCTGCTCAGTTCAATGTTTGGGCCACAGGCACTGCTTCGCTGTCCACGGTGCAGTTGCAGGTCAATGACTACGGTAATCTTCTTCTGAGTAATTCCCAGGGTACTACTTTATGGCAGAGCTTTGATTCTCCTACAGATACCCTTCTTCCTCTACAATCACTCACCAGATACACAGCACTCGTCTCCAAAAGAAGAAAAGGCAACTATTCCTCTGGTTTCTATAAGCTGTTTTTCGATGATGATAATGTTCTCCGTCTCCTTTTTGATAGTAGTGAGATTTCAAGCGTTTATTGGCCTGGTTCGTGGCTTGTTAGCTGGGAAGCAGGAAGATCCACATACAACAGTAGGAGAAATGCGATGATCGATTCCTTTTGGCAATTTTAGTTCAAGTGATGACTTAATTTTTAGGTCTGCGGATTATGGTGCAAGTTGGATCCAGAGAAGATTGACCATTGATGTTGATGGTAACCTTCGATTGTACAGCAGCGAAGAAAGGGATGAAACATGGGTTGTTTCATGGCAAGCTATAAGTCAGCCATGCACGATTCATGGCCTTTGTGGGGAAAACAGTCTCTGTGGCTACGCTCCGTGTACTGGGAGGAAATGCTCTTGCCCTGAAGGATACAGGGTGAAGAACCAAACTGATTGGTCTTACGGTTGCGAACCAGAATTCGACGTTTCCCTCAATGCTAGTGAGTTTAGTTTTATACATCTTCGTAATGCTGAAATTTATGGCTATGATATTGCAATTTTTAACAATAAAACCTTAAAGGAGTGTGAAGCTGCATGCTTGCAGACGGTCAACTGTAAAGGTTTTCAATATAATTTCAATGGTAATGGTTTCTATGATTGTTTCCCTAAGGCGCAATTGCGTAATGGGCAGCAAACACCAGGCTTCAATGGAGATATCTATATAAAGCTGCCCAAAGCATATACCTCGTACAACAACAAAATGCCTTTCAAGGAAATCAGTTTAGATTGCCCCAAAAATGGTACTATTATGCTGGAAAGAAGTTATGCTAAGAGCCAAGAAAATGGGATAGTGAAGTTCATGCTCTGGTTTGCGAGTGCATTGGGAGGAGTTGAGCTTATTTCCATCTTGGTTTGGTGGTTAACTAGCGCCAGTCAAGAGAAGAATATTGTAGCTAAAGAAGGCTACCTTCTCGCAGCAGGTGGGTTCAAGAGATTCACATTTGACAAGCCAAAAGAGGCAACGCAAAAAACTTCAATGAAGAAACTGGAAGAGGAGGAGGAGGTATTGTGTATAAAGGCATGCTACCTGATTGTAGAGTTGCAGCAGTCAAGCGACTGAATGAAGCACATCAAGGAGAAGCTGAGTTCCTTGCAGAAGTAAACACCATCGGGGAAGCTTAATCACATGAACTTGATTGAAATGTGGGGATTATGCGCAGAGAAAAAGCACAGGCTCCTAGTTTATGAGTACATGGAGCATGGATCCTTAGCAGAAAACATCTCTTCCCATGAACTTGACTGGCAAAAGAGGTATGATATCGCCTTGGGCACTGCAAAAGGCCTAGCTTACCTACATGATGAGTGCTTGGAGTGGGTCTTGCATTGTGATGTAAAGCCCCAAAACATACTTCTGGACTCCGGCTACCAACCCAAGGTGTCGGATTTCGGCCTATCTAAGCTCCTTGACAGAGGTAAGCTCTACAATTCTAGCTTCTCAAAGATACATGGGTCCCGAGTGGGCTTTCAATCGTCCCAGTACATCCAAAGTAGATGTTTACAGCTACGGCGTCGTCGTGTTGGAAATGGTGACTGGAATGAGCCCAACAAAAGGGATCCAGTTCGTAGATAGTATTGCTGAAGGGGAGTTGGAATACAGGTCAGTAACTTGGGTCAAGGAAAAGAAGAAAGGATCAAATTCAATGGAATCGTGGATAGCAGAAATTCTAGACCCCATGTTGGAAGGCAATTATGATGAGCAAAAGATGGAAACTCTGGTTGAAGTGGCCTTTCATTGCGTCCAGGAAGACAGAGATGCAAGGCCCACCATGAGTCAAGTGGTCGAGAGGCTTGTTCATCACATAGAAAATGAAAACTAGCAGCACTTTATTTGCAAATCCTTGCATTAGTTTAGTCCCCAATACCATTAGCGGTAATCCAGGAATAATTGCACCTGCTACACCTAATTTCAGCATTCAGTTAGTGTAATTTTCCGATTCTGCATGTTCGAATGTTAAGTTCTTTTCTTCAAATGAAGGGTTATAGTCTTTATTTCTCTGTTAACAAGTTTTTGATTACATATGTATGACTTAAATAAATCATTGTCTTAGATTTTTATTTATCCTTCTCAGTAATTTTTATTAGACATTTTTATCAATCACAAGTGTAAATTACATTAGAATAAATAAATAAAAGGCTGTTTTTTTAAATAAAGAGAAGTATGAATTTTTAGTTATTGGATTGAAGTGGGTTAAGATGCAAAGTGAAACATGATTAGATTTTTCAAATTTTGACTGATTTTGTAATTTAATTAAATTAATATATTATTATTTAATAAAGACACTAGACGCTTGGTACAATTGTAATTGATTAAATAATAAATTTAGTTCAAGATTGTAAACTTGGAATTACAGCACTATATACTCTTCTTTTAGACCTTTTTTTTTTTTTTCGGGAGAATGATAAACTGAGAGTATCTTGTATAAGGATGAAAATAGGTTGTTTTCGGACATGTTATGTAAAAAATAAATAAATTTTTTTAATTTAAATATAATTCTTTAATTAAATAATTATTAAGTAATTATTAATTGTGTCAATAGATTTGTCTCTACTAATAGACAAATATGTTTGGACAGGGACAGCTGTAGAAAATAGATATTTAATTGTTTTTATATTAGGACTCTTTGTTCAAAAGGATAAGAAGACAACATCCATATTTTTTTTTCTAATATTTCTTCAAATATTTTCTATACTGTTTTCCTATTGAAAAATCTATAAAAATTTAACAATTTTGTCATATATCTCAAATATTCCAAAAATTAATTCAGTTAATAAAAAAATATAATCAATTAAGAATTTTATTATATTTTCATAATTTATCCCCTGTAATTTTTTTGTATATTAATAATAAAGAAAAATAAAATCTTAAAAGTAATAATTACTAATAAACATATCGAAGACATTCTATTATTCTTTATTTTGCAATCTTGTGTTCTAACAATTCCACATATAACAGTAAGAGTAATGTTTTGTTTTTCCATTTTAACGGCTAATCTGCAATTGTCTGGTGATTAGGAGTGTGCATAGCTCGGTTCAGTCGGTTTCGATTCGGTTTTTGGTAAAACCGATAAAAAAAATTTCAACATTATAACCGATCGAACTGCATAGAATGTAAAGTCGATTTAGATCGATTTTTAGAATCTCGGTTCTATCAGTTCAGTCTGTTTTTTAGGATGGCTAGCTAGCTGTTAGTTTCGGGGGGTTAGGGAGGGAGTTAGAGAGAGGCAGAAAGCAGGAAAGTTAGGGGGAAATTAGGTCGGGGGGAAATAAGAGGTAAGGGTTGCTTTAGCCTTTAAGGGGTTAATGAAGGACAATTTTATCTTTCTACCTCCTAAAAAAAATCGCCGATTATTCAGTTGGTTCAAAGGGGAAGGAGTCCCCCCATGATCGAGCCGATCGGCCTCATCGGCCAATCGAAACAACCGACGGTTACAGTCGGTTGCTCAGTTTTAACCGATCACTGCACACTCTTACTAGTGATGGGTCAAGATATTCGCAACTAAGGAAGCAAACCGAACCGCCTATAAGCTTCACAAAATGGGTTTTTCCTTTTTACTGGTTTTGTGTTTTCTGGGTACAATTGGCAGTCCAAATTGATTTTCTATGTACCTATGTCATAAATACTGATAACCAATTTCTTTTCTCTCTTAAAAAATGTTTTAATTTATATAGCTCCCATGGAAAATAGATATCAACAACCAAAAAAAATTGAAGCATATTCTTTGCTAAAATCATAAGCTTATTAGCAGATATATAATATATTTTGGGATCAGATGCAGTACCGTTGACATTCTTGATATTTCATTTTCCTTTTTCTTTTCTTTTCTTGGATTCAAATTGCAGATATAAATTTTCAAAGGCGTGGGGACAATAGTCATAATCGAACGTATTATATATATATATATATATATATATATATATATATTCTATTAAGATTACTTTATAGAAGATAGATTAAATGTAAGAACAAATTGAAGGTTGTTAGGTTTACGCCTTATCAAAATACTATATATATACTGTGGAATGCCGTTTGCATTTATGATTTGAACTTGGTCTTTATTTATTTTTAATTTTAAAAAAAAATTACTCTGAAATGGACTTTAAACCATATATATGAACTCCACATCTTTTACCCTTTTCGATTTTTTATTTCAAGCTTACCTTGCTTCTAATTAATCGTTTTCTGCTTTATCTCCAGGCATTTTTCTTTTTAAATATCTTTGTTCTGAAAATTAAAAAGATATATAATGTTAAAACAAAAACATTTGATTCAGTAAATAATACATGAATTAAATACATGCAATGTAAGTCTTGGACTACTCTTAGAGAGACAAGATTGCGAAACACATACTATAATCTTAAATCTTTCTTACAAAAATTGTAAGTTAGCAAACGTTAATAAATGTGTTTTTTATATGCCTGCATATGTCTATATCAGTAAGTAACTATATTCTATATTCTATATATTGTATACATGCACTGATTCAACTTATTGATTATTCAAATGTTACCGAAATTATAAAAAATCTTCAAAATTGAACTTAAATTATAAAAATGCATAATATGTCATGATACCTCAATTATAAAAAAAAATACGTTGAATTACCCCCATAATCACAACTAATAATGTGTTTGTGAGCCAATAAAAAGCATGACATGAGTAAGAGCACGTGGAATACTAAATTACACGTATTATCAATTAAACTCCGCACAATCAATTGCCTGATTTTTCATAAGAGAAAAAAAAAAGATGTATTATTATAAAGTTTTGCATTTCCTACTGAAAATTTCTGTCAATATTTTACGTTATGTTGAAACTGATTCTTTTTAACTTTGCTTGCACTAATATTTTTGTATTAGAAAAGAGAAAATCCATCAGTCAAATCCTTAGTCTGCAAGCATGTAAATCCGTGCATAAAATAGATATTTTAGCAAGTACAACTAACCTATCAACATTAAGTACTAGAATAGTATGGTAGCTTGTAACTCCAATTGATTTATAAGTATTTATTATTGTAACGGAGCACCACCTACTTTCTCTGACAATGCTAGATATTTACATAAATAAGCAATCTGGTTTATTGCATTTGCACCATTTTCTCTCTCTGGATCACTTGATGTTAATAAATTAATAAAATATTGTTGTGTTTAATTGATGGTCCCTAGCCGAATGTGAATTCAGACGTTCTGCCTGTTTGGTCGTTGTATCATTGCCAGTTTTCCGGCCTTTTCTCATAGATGGTTTTCTTAAGAGTCAATGGCTTTTGGTCTTCGGGTGTCGGCCTTCGCACATGAACAGTAGGTTAAGCTTTAATGTAATTCTGAATATAGAAATTCAGAGTAGAAGTATCGTATTGGGTTATTTTCATAGGAATTTGATGACGCAAGGCAATGATGTCTTCTATAATTTCTTCCTGGGAGACCCTTTTGACAAATCAGATAGCAGAACCAATTTTCCCCTCAACAGTTTGCCACGCTAACAAATTGAATTGAAATTGCTCTGGGTGGGTAAGTCGGGTCAGCCGCCCCGGAATAGAGCTCTGCACTTCTGGTCTCTCCGTTTACATTCAGTCACATGAAATCTGCATATATTTCTCTGCCTTAGTTTCCAAGCCTTTCCCTGCCTTCAATCATCACTAAGTTCATGGCCACACCATTGATCCTCCTCGTTTTCTCTTTGGCTTTATATTGTCCACTTTCATCTTCATCCTCTGATGGTCTATGGGCAGGCTCATCTCTGTCGGTGGAGACTGCAGGTGATGTCTTGACTTCACCTGATGGCACTTTTAGTGCTGGGTTCCACCCCGTTGGCCAGAATGCTTATTCCTTTGCGATTTGGTTCAACAAACCATCTTGCAGTGCTAACAGTTGCACCATAGTTTGGATGGCAAATCGGGACCAACCAGTCAATGGTAGATACTCAAAGCTCTGTCTACTGAAATCAGGTAATCTTGTTTTAAAAGATGCGGGTCATATCCCTGTTTGGGAAACGATAACCGTCTCGCAGTCCCCTACCCATTTAAAACTGGAAGATGGCGGCAATCTCGTCTTGCGGAACTTGGAAGGCAATATTTTGTGGCAAAGCTACGATTCACCCACGGATACGCTGCTTCCTCTTCAACCATTCAATGAGAACTCAAAGCTCATCTCATCAAGAAGCCAGGGAAACTACTCCTCGGGTTTTTTTCAGCTTTACTTTGACACTGATAATGTCCTCTGCCTTGTGTACAATGGTCTTGAGTTTTCAAGCGTTTACTGGCCAAGCCCATGGCTTTTGAGATGGGAAGCTGGCAGATCCACGTTCAATAATAGCAAAATTGCAGTTCTGGATTCTATCGGCAATTTTAGTTCAACTGATAATTTTACCTTCTTGTCAGCTGATTATGGCTCAAAGATTCCAAGAATGTTGAAGATGGATTTTGATGGCAATATTCGACTGTATAGTCTAAAACAGGATGGAGAAGCTTGGGTTGTTTCATGGCAAGCCTTCCCTCAACCATGCATGGTTCATGGATGTTGTGGACCAAACAGCATATGCATCTATATTCCTAATTTTGGCAGGAAATGCTCTTGCCTTCCAGGTTATAAGTTGACGAATCGTACTGATTGGTCTCTTGGCTGTAAACCAGAATATCATCCTTCTTGTAACCAAACTGAGATTGGTTTCCTGAAGCTCCGCCATGTTGAATTCTATGGTTATGATTACAACATGTATCCTAATGTCACCTTAGAGGATTGCAAGAAAATATGCTCGCAGTTGTGCGATTGCAAAGGTTTCCAATTCAGATTTATTAAAGCCCATGAATCAGACGGTACATAC